CACTCACCCATCCACTCACTCACCCATACACTCACTCACCCATCCACTCACTCACTCACTCACCCATACACTCACTCACTCACCCACTCACCCAACCACTCACTCACTCACCCACTCACTCACCCACTCACTCACTCACTCACCCAATCACTCACCCACTCACTCACCCACTCACCCAACCACTCACCCACCCACTCACCCACCCACTCACTCACTTACTCACTCACTCACCCAACCACCCACCCACTCACTCACCCACTCACTCACTCACTTACTCACCCACTCGCTCACTCACCCACTCACTCACTCACCCACTCACTCACTTACTCGCCCACTCACTCACTCACCCACTTACTCACCCACTCACTCACTCACTCACCCACTCACCTACTCACTCACTCACCCACTCACTCACTCACTCACCCACTCACCCACTCACTCACTCACCCACTCACTCACTCACCCACTCACTCACTCACCCACTCACCCACTCACTCACTTACTCACCCACCCATCCACTCACCCACTCACTCACCCACTTACCCACTCACTCACCCACTCACTCACCCACTCACCCACTCACTCACCCACTCACCCACTCACTCACTCACTCACCCACTCACTCACTCACCCACTCACTCACCCACTCACTCACCCACTCACCCACTCACTCACTCACCCACTCACTCACTCACCCACTCACTCACCCACTCACCCACTCACTCACTCACCCACTCACTCACCCACTCACTCACTCACCCACTCACCCACTCACTTACTCACCCACTCACTCACTCACCCACTCACTCACCCACTCACTCACCCATCCATCCACTCACCCACTCACTAACCCACCCACCCACCCTACAACTCCTTCACCCACTCGCTCATCCACTAGGGCAGTGGTTCTTCTTCTTCTTAACCTGGGATGCATCACGCCAACCACCTGGGGTAGCGAGATGCCCTTTCTGGGGTGGGGGTGGTGTTAGCGAGAGACACGGACAGATTATTTTAGAAGTTAAATAATCGAAAACACAAACTAAGCATGGGGCAAAGTTAAGCTACAGCAGCTACCTTCATCAAGCACCTACACGTTTATTACCACTGTAGGCTGTTTCGCGATTGAGAAGCAACAGGACTGCAGTCAAGGTGAAGAACGAATGCTCAGCAGACTGACACACAGGGACAGCTGCCACTGGGGGTGCCCCCTAGGCTATAGCATCACACAGCAGCAGACTGACACACAGGGACAGCTGCCACTGGGGGTGTCTCCTAGGCTACAGCACCACACAGCAGCAGACTTACACACAGGGACAGCTGCCACTGGGGGTGTCCCCTAGGCTATAGGATCACACAGCACCAGTAATCATCGCTACCTCTACTACTACTGGCAGCAGACTCACACACAGGGACAGCTGCCACTGGGGGTGCCCCCTAGGCTATAGCATCACACAGCAGCAGACTGACACACAGGGGCAGCTGCCACTGGGGGTGTCCCCTAGTCTTGAGATTCGGGTGGGGTGCTTCTGGGTAAAAAAAAAATAACCAAACGAATGAAACTGTGACTGTGTTTATTTTGTTCCAGGTGTAACGCTCCACTCATCTGCATGTGGGAGCTCTTTTTATCAGAAGCCGGACCCGGGCATCGCACGTAATAATAGCAGCCCCAATCGAGTGACTGATATCATCATCATCGTCGTCGTCATCAGCGTGTGGACATTTACAGCAGTAGCTGTGTGGCTGGTGTCGTCATCACCCAGAGAAAATCCACGCAGTGATCACCACGCGGAGAGAGACACCGTAAGCTCCAGATATACAGCAGCAGGCGTCAGGGTCGGGATCTAAACCACGACATCGTGAATATCATTCACTCACCGACTCAGCCACCCACTCATCCACCCACCCACTCATCCAGCCACCCACTCATCCACCCACCCACTCATTCGTCCACCCACTCATTCATCCACCCACTCATTCACCCACCCACTCATTCACCCACCCAGTCATTCACTCACCCACTTATTCAACCACCCACTCATCCACCCACCCACGCATTCATCCACCCACCCACTCATTCACCCACCCACTCATTCATCCATCCACTCATTCACCCACCCACTCATTCACCCACCCACTCATTCATCCACCCACTCATTCAACCATCCACTCATCCACCCACCCACTCATTCAACCACCCACTCATCCATCCACCCACTCATTCACCCACCCACTCATTCAGCCACCCACTCATTCAACCACCCACTCATCCACCCACCCACTCATTCACCCACCCACTCATTCACCCACACACTCATTCAGCCACCCACTCATTCAGCCACCCACTCATTCACCCACCCACTCATTCAGCTACCCACTCATTCACCCACCCACTCATTCACCCACCCACTCATTCACCCATCCACTCATTCATCCACCCACTCATTCACCCACCCACTCATCCATCCACCCACTCATCCATCCACCCACTCATTCACCCACCCACTCATTCATCCACCCACTCATTCACCCACCCACTCATTTATCCACCCACTCATTCACCCACCCACTCATTCACCCACCCACTCATTCACCCACCCACTCATTCATCCACCCACTCATTCACCCACCCACTCATTCACCCACCCACTCATTTACCCACTCACTCATTCATCCACCCACTCATCCACCCACCCACTCATTCACCCACCCACTCATTCAACCACCCACTCATTCACCTACCCACTCATTCAACCACCCACTCATTCACCCACCCACTCATTCATCCACCCACTCATTCACCCACCTACTCATTCAGCTACCCACTCATTCACCCACCCACTCATTCAGCCACCCACTCATTCAACCACCCACCCACTCATTCATCCACCCACTCATTCACCCACCCACTCATTCTTCAACCACCCACTCATTCACCCACCCACTCATTCAGCCACCCACTCATTCACCCACCCACTTATTCAACCACCCACCCACTCATTCAACCACCCACCCACTCATTCATCCACCCATTCCCCCACCCACCCACCCACTCACCCACCCACCCACTCACCACCACCACCGAGGTGACCCTTGTCACCGAGACGAGCTATCCCAGCGTCTTGAGTTGTCACGCGGCTTACACGAAATCAACTTGAGACTTTGGCGTCAACATTTGTTTCTATATTTTAAACTTTTGAGGGCAAAACTGTACAAATACACCACGTGACCTCATCACGACAAAACACCACAGTTTCACTTTTAGCTGGGGTTGGGGGTTCACAATGGCCGTGTCAGAGACACAGATGTCCCGGGTTTAAGATCTGGGTGTCTCTCAATGGGTTCACAATGGCCGTGTCAAAAACACCGAGATCCCAGGTTTAAGATCTGGGTCTGGACGTCTCTGTCTTAAAGGGTTCACAATGGCCGTGTCAGAGACACCGACATTTCAGGTTTAAGATCCAGGTCTGGGTGTCTCTGTCTCTCACGGGGGCTCACAATGGCCGTGTCAGAGACACCGAGATCCCGGGTTTAAGATCTGGGTCTCTCACTCTCAATGGGCTCACAATGGCCGTGTCAGAGACACCGAGATCCCAGGTTTAAGATCTGGGTCTCTCTCAATGGGTTCACAATGGCCGTGTCAGAGACACCGAGATCCCAGGTTTAAGATCTGGGTCTCTCTCAATGGGCTCACAATTGCCGTGTTAGAGACACCGATGACCTGGGTTTAAGATCTGGGTCTGGGTGTCTCTCTCTCACATGGGGGTTCACAATGGCCGTGTCAGAGACACCGATGACCTGGGTTTAAGATCCGGGTCTGGGTGTCTCTGTCTCTCACATGGGGGTTCACAGTTGCCGTGTCAATAGGCGCCACAATGGCTGTGTTCCATTTTTTCACAGGAGCCGGAGTCATAGGTGGCATGAGACACGATATGTACACAGACATGGGTTGAATGTATGCGTGGTGTACGTACGTGTCTGTGTGTGCATGTGTTACTGAGTGGGGAGCGGTAGTGTAGTGGTTAGCGCTACGCTGCGCTATAAACCTGGCGACCCGGGTTCGATTCCCGCTCACGGCCAACACCCAGTGACGATTATCTGAACCGGTCCCGGGCCTCCCCTAGGTTGACTCAGCCTCAAATGAGTACCTGGTGCGGTGTGTAAACATCGCCACTGAGGAGACAAAGGTGGTCGGGCGTGGTGCTGGCCACCCACCCCCTCGTGTGCCGTTACCGGCCTTCATAGGTGCTCGCTAACAGCACTTGCCCCTACAGTCTGTTAAGGCTACATGGGGGATCTTTGTCTTTGTATGTACTGTGTGTGTATCAGTGTGTGTGTATCAGTGTGTGTGTATCAGTGTGTGTGTGTGTATCAGTGTGTGTCTGTGTGTGTATATCAGTGTGTGTCTGTGTGTGTATATCAGTGTGTGTATCAGTGTCTGTGTGTATCAGTGTGTATCAGTGTGTGTATCAGTGTGTGTATCAGTGTGTGTATATCAGTGTGTGTGTATCAGTGTGTATCAGTGTGTATCAGTGTGTGTATATCAGTGTGTGTGTATCAGTGTCTGTGTATCAGTGTGTGTCTGTGTGTGTATATCAGTGTGTGTGTGTCTGTGTGTGTATATCAGTGTGTGTATATCAGTGTGTGTATATCAGTGTGTGTATATCAGTGTGTGTATCAGTGTGTGTCTGTGTGTGTATATCAGTGTGTGTGTGTCTGTGTGTGTATATCAGTGTGTGTATATCAGTGTGTGTATATCAGTGTGTGTATATCAGTGTGTGTATCAGTGTGTGTGTCTGTGTGTGTGTCTGTGTGCGCATATCAGTGTGTGTATATCAGTGTGTGTGTCTGTGTGTGTATATCAGTGTGTGTATATCAGTGTGTGTGTCTGTGTGTATATATCAGTGTGTGTATATCAGTGTGTGTATATCAGTGTGTGTATATCAGTGTGTGTATATCAGTGTGTGTATATCTGTGTGTGTATCAGTGTGTGTGTATCTGTGTGTATCTGTGTGTGTGTATCAACTCTGGGTTCTCTGTTCTCTGTTCATCTCCGAAGTGATCCTCGCTCTCAGCGCCAGCTCCGTTCGCTCGTCCAGCCGACAGCGCTGAGCCAGCAGGGAGGCTAGCTCCCCTGGGTCGTCCCCCTGAGACACACGGAGACACAGAGACGTGTGGGGACACACAGAGACACACACAGAGACAGAGACACACACAGAGACAGAGACACACACAGAGACAGAGACACACACAGAGACAGAGACACACACAGAGACACACACAGAGACACACACAGAGACACACACAGAGACGTGTGGGGACACAGAGAGACACACACAGAGACAGAGACACACACAGAGACAGAGACACACACAGAGACACACACAGAGACAGAGACACACACAGAGACACACACAGAGACACACACAGAGACACACACAGAGATGTGTAGGGACACACAGAGACACACACAGAGACATAGACACACACAGAGACACACACAGAGACACACACAGAGACGTGTGGGGACACACAGAGACACACACAGAGACAGACACACACAGAGACAGAGACACACACAGAGACACCAGAGAGACACACACAGAGACACACACAGAGATGTGTAGGGACACACAGAGACACACACAGAGACAGAGACACACACAGAGACACACACAGAGACAGAGACACACACAGAGATGTGTAGGGACACACAGAGACACACACAGAGACACCCACAGAGACACACACAGAGACACACACAGAGACACACACACACAGAGACACACACACAGAGACAGAGACACCCACAGAGACACACACAGAGACACACACAGAGACACACACACACAGAGACAGAGACACACACAGAGACACAACAACAACCGCCATTTGCCACTAAGTGGCGGTGACGTCACCACGACGCTTGTGCCAGGCTATGTGCACCCTGAGGCCACGTGAAGTGTCGAACGCCCGCTGGCAGGAGGTCACGGGGCAGACCCAGGTGCCACGGGTCGACTGACTGAGATGACTGGCTGATGCACCACCTGTGCCCCCTACTGTGCCAACCTGCTGTGCTTTAGCCACCCGGCGCTCCGCTCGTTGTTCTGAGCGTCGCTCCTCCGCCCTCCGTTGTTGTTGGAGGGCGACTGCCTCCAACTGCCCAGTAGCATCCTTCACGAGCCTCCTCCACAGAGGCCGATCTTGACACCGCTGGTACCAGTCATCGGCAAGTCCACTCAGCTCCACGTCCTCCTGTACCACATCACTCCATCTCTTCTCTAGCCCATGCCGCGCCCGCTTAGCCCCCTCAATCCGGCCAAACAAAAGCTGTTTCGGCATGCGGTGGCTGGGCATGCGGGCTACATGACCCAGCCATCGCAGCCTTGCCTGCCGGAGGAGCTCACCGATGGGACCCTGCCCAGATCTTTCAAGGATTTGTGAGCTCCTCACACAATCCAGTCTGGTTAAACCCAGGATGGATCGTAGGCAGGCCAGCCTAAATGTTTCTAACCGGCGAAGATGTTCCATTAGGGGGGTCCACGTTTCGCAAGCGTAGAGAAGGGAGGGAATGACCGTGGCCGAGAAGACCTGAAGCTTAGTGCGGAGCGACAGACCAGGTAGCTTCCACACAGCGTTACGCAACCGATGAAAAGATATTGCCGCTCGACTGATTCGGAGTGAGACCTCTGCTGTTAAACTGGAGCCAGTCATAAGCACACTGCCCAGGTATGGGAAACTCTCCACTCTCTCCACAACTGCCCCATCACCGATTGGGAGTTGTGGGGGTGGAGTGTCCGATGGTACAAAATACCCAGGCAGGTGCTTAGTTTTGGTGGGGCTGATGGTAAGGCCCCACCTCTTAGTGGCACGCTCCAGTCTCAGCAGCAGCGTCTCCAACTCCTCCTCTGACCGCACCCGGGCATCGATCAGCCTCCCTTTATGTCTGTACCATATGGAGATTCTCCCGGTACAGCTATTGAAGGCTTCACGAACTACGTGGTCAAAATAGATGTTAAATAATGTGGGAGCCAGAGGACATCCGTGTCGCACCCCAAGGTGTACAGGGAATGGCTCTGACTCCAGGCGACGTAGTTTTACCCGGGTCCGCTCACCATCATGAAGGTCCTTAATGATCGTGAGCAGAGGGTCAGGTACTCCAAAAGCACGAAGAATGACCCTGAGCCCAGGCCTACTGATGGTATCATAGGCCTTGACCAGGTCAATAAAGCAGAGATGTAGGTCTTGTTGGAATTCCATACACCTCTGCTGTAGCAGACGGACAGAAAATATGGCATCTGTGCAGGACCGCTCTTTCCTGAAACCGCATTGGGGCTCCGCAAGCCTCTCCTCAGCGTGCCTGGCAAGGCGATGCTGAATAAACCTTGCCAGGACCTTTCCCGGCACACTGAGGAGTGAGATGCCCCTGTAGTTGTTACAGTCTGTGCGGTCCCCCTTCTTAAAAAGGGGGACCACCAGGGCATCCTTCCAATCCTGCGGAACCCGTCCAGTGGTCCAGACTGTTGTTATGATGTCATATAGGGCAGTCTGTGCACAAACGCCACCCTCCCTCAGCATTTCGCTTGGGAGATCATCTCTGCCCGCTGCCTTTCCTGGTCTCAGACTCCGGATCGCCTTCAGTACTTCCTCAACAGATGGCACCTCAGCAAGCCACTCACAGGGGGTGACTTCTTCCAATATTTGAGGCACCGCAGCCTCAGCAGGGTCATCCTCACTTTGTGCCACGATGTTTTCCTGGCTGAGGGATTTTCCCTCCCCCAGGACCTCACAGAAATGCTCAGCAAATCTGCAAACCTGTTCCTGGGGGTCGGAGATTGGATCACCGTTTTTCCCCCTAATGATGGTAATAGGTGTGGCGCTGCAGGTTACCTTTTTGATGGAGTTAAATAGAGATTTGTGATCACGGGCCACTGAGGCAGACTCCATCTCCTCAGCAACCCGCGACCACCACCCATCCTTGCAGCACCTCACGGCTCTCCGAACCTCCGAGCGAAGGCTGCGGTAAGCCTCCTCATTCTATGACGTGGAATTCCACGTCATTCTATGACGTGGAATTCTGTAGCCGATGACAGTGGGCCTGTTGCTTTTTCTCAACCATCCTGAACACCTCCTCTGTCAGCCAGGGTCTCTGGGGAGGTCTGGACCGCGTACCCAAAGGAGCCATTGCAGCTGCATGAGTAACAGTCCTAAACCTCACCCATTTACCCTCGACATCAGGAGGAGTCGGGGACAATGCCAATCCCAGCCGCAAGCGATGATGAAATTCTCGCTTGCAACTTTCATCAGATAACTGGGACCAGGCCACTTTAGGTCGGAATGGGGTCCTGGGTGTACACCCACCACCGGAGTGGAAGAATGGCAGGCGCATCTTTCAGATGACTAGTCGATGGTCAGAGGGCAGATCAGCTCCACGGTAGGTCCTGGTGTCAAGGACATGGGCTCGCATCCGCTGGTCCGTCACTATGTAGTCCAGCAGATGTTCTTGCTTGGACCCGGCATGCATCCATGATGTTGTGTGGATGCGCCGATGCCGGAACAGCGTGTTGGTAATTACAAGCCCATGGGCTGCACAAAAATCTAGCAGCCTCCTACCGTTGTTATTCAGCTGATCTGGCCCATGCCCTCCAATCACTCCAGACCAGGTGCCAGTATCAAGACCAACTCGGGCATTGAAGTCACCCAACATGATGACTCTATCCCGAGGGGTCACTTTAGCCAGCACCTGTGACAGGAGGTCATAGAAGACATCTGACTCATCGGCTTTGCCTGCATCCCTCCACGGATGTTCATCTTCGATGGGGGCATAAGTAACCACGACCACCATTCCTCGCCTCCGGTTGATGGGAAGGCGAGCCCAAAGTAGCCTGGGGCTTACAGCTTCCCACACCTCACTGCCACGCTCCCACGCCCCCTTCATTATTTTGTTCAAAAGAAGAGCCACACCCTGTTGTTTGGCAGTCTGCTGCCCCGAGTAGAGGACTGTCCACCCCTCATGGTGGCAGGAGCCAGAGCCGGTCCACCGGACCTCCTGAATGCCGCATAGATCCAGGCGGTACCGGTCCAGCTCCCGACAGAGGAGTGGCAGCCTCTCCTCCGCAGTGAGCGTTCGAACATTCCACGTGGCCACCCGTAGTGGCTTTGCGTTGTTTCTGGAGAAGCCCCGAGGGTAGATATTCAATCTCCTGGCTCCGCCAATTGGGGTTTGGCCAGGAGACGTCATAGACGCCTGGCTCCCCGGGGCCTCCGGCACAAGCTTATTAGTTACATATTTCAGTTTAACTCATGGTTTCGTGGTAATTAATTGAAGGTGGAGGGGTTACCAGCCCCTCGCACCCGTCCAGAGCCCCCGTTTAGCCCCTGTGGTGGACACATATGCCATGAGGGGAGGAGCCAATCAAAATTGGATCTCCCCCCACAGCACTGTCCACGACAGAGTTGCCCGTCCGGCACTGCGAGGAGGTAGGGGGTTGTTTTGCCGGATTCACAGAGACACACACAGAGACAGAGACACACACAGAGATGTGTAAGGACACACAGAGACACACACAGAGACAGAGACACACACAGAGACACACACAGAGACAGAGACACACACAGAGACACACACACAGAGACACGCACACAGACACACACAAAGACTCAGACACAGAGACACGCACAGAGGCACGCACAGAGACTCAGACAGACTCACACAGAGACTCAGACACAGAGACACGCACAGAGACACGCACAGAGACACGCACAGAGACTCAGACAGACTCGCACAGAGACACACACAGCGACACGCACAGAGACACACACAGAGACACACACAGAGACACGCACAGAGAAACGCACAGAGACACGCACAGAGACACGCACAGAGACACGCACAGAGACACACACAGAGACACACAAAGACACACACAGAGACACTCACAGAGACACACACAGAGACATACGCAGAGACACACACAGAGACACACACAGAGACACAGACACACACACAGAGACACACACAGAGACACACACAGACACACACAGAGACACACACAGAGACACACACAGACACACACACAGACACACACAGTGACACACACAGAGACACACACAGACACACACAGAGACTCACACAGAGACACACACAGAGACACACACAGACACACACACAGACACACACAGAGACACACACAGACACACACAGAGACACACACAGAGACACACAGACACACACACACAGAGACACACACAGAGACACACACAGACACACACAGAGACACACACAGAGACACACAGACACACACACAGAGACACACACAGAGACACACACAGAGACACACACAGAGACACACACAGAGACACACAGACACACACACACAGAGACGTGGGGACACACACAGAGGAGCGGTTGGGGTGAGCGGTGGGGTGAGCGGTGGGGTGAGCGGTGGGGTGAGCGGTGGGGCGAGCGGTGGGGCGAGCGGTTGGGGCGAGCGGTTGGGGCGAGCGGTTGGGGCGAGCGGTGGGGCGAGCGGTGGGGTGAGCGGTGGGGTGAGCGGTGGGGTGAGCGGTGGGGTGAGCGGTGGGGTGAGCGGTTGGGGTGAGCGGTTGCGGTGAGCGGTGCTCGTTACTGGGTTCACGATGAGCGATGTCACAGAGCCCCAGTCGTCCTCAAACTCCAGCCGGAACCTCCCATTGGCTGACGCAGCCCTCCGCTCGCTCAATGCCGGCCTCTGATTGGCCGCCCCTGTTGCTCTGTGCTCCGTTGGCGCCGGCTTCCGATTGGTTGAATCCCGGCCGTGCTCCCCCGACGCCGGCCCCCCGTTGGCCGATGCCATGTGCCGACTCGACTCTGCCTTCCGATTGGCCTGTGCCGCTGCGTGCTCCGCCAAGGCCCGCCTCCGGTTCGCCTCTGGTCTCCGATTGGCCGAATCTCGTCCACGTTCCGCCAATGCCGGCTCCCGATTGGTCGCGTCCCGCCGCCCGTGCCCGTCCGGCGACCCGTCGCTCCGATTGGCCGCCCCGGGCCTCCGGTCGGGCGACGCCGCTCTCCGATTGGCCGCCCCTTGCCTCCGGTCGGGCGACGCCGCTCTCCCATTGGCTGATGCCGGGCCTGGAAGCTCCTCCTCCTCCTCCTCTTCGCTGTCTCCGGGGTCCTCGCTGGCTTCACCGCCCCCTGCAATAGAGGGCAGCCGGAGAGGAACACCTTAGGTCTCTCTCTCATCATCATCACCACGGTGGCTGAGATGTTGACTACCTCGCCTGGTACACAGGAGGTCGTGGGTTCAATCCCAGACCCTGAGAGATGTTGACTACCTCGCCTGGTCGACAGGAGGTCGTGGGTTCAATCCCAGACCCTGAGAGATGTTGACTACCTCGCCTGGTACACAGGCGGTCGTGGGTCCAATCCCAGACCCTGAGAGACGTTGACTACCTCGCCTGGCACACAGGAGGTCGTGGGTCCAATCCCAGACCCTGAGAGATGTTGACTACCTCGCCTGGTACACAGGAGGTCGTGGGTTCAATCCCAGACCCTGAGAGATGTTGACTACCTCGCCTGGTACACAGGAGGTCGTGGGTTCAATCCCAGACCCTGAGAGATGTTGACTACCTCGCCTGGTACACAGGCGGTCGTGGGTCCAATCCCAGACCCTGAGAGACGTTGACTACCTCGCTTGGCACACAGGAGGTCGTGGGTCCAATCCCAGACCCTGAGAGATGTTGACTACCTCGCCTGGTACACAGGAGGTCGTGGGTTCAATCCCAGACCCTGAGAGATGTTGACTACCTCGCCTGGTACACAGGAGGTCGTGGGTCCAATCCCAGACCCTGAGAGACGTTGACTACCTCGCCTGGCACACAGGAGGTCGGGGGTCTAGTCATGACTCTGACACCTGCTGGCTGCTGCTGTGTATTTGGAGTCTGCGTCTCTCTCTCATCATAATTATCATCACGGTGGCTGAGATGTTGACTACCTCGCCTGGTACACAGGAGGTCGTGGGTTCAATCCCAGACCCTGAGAGATGTTGACTACCTCGCCTGGTGCACAGGAGCGCGTGGGTCCAGTCATGACTCCGACGCCTGCTGTTGTATATTTGGAGTCTGCGTCTCTCTCTCTCCCTCCCCGTGGTGGTGGTGGTGGTCACTGCTTAGGGATTTGTTCCTCCGGATCTCACCTCGACATTTAGAATTGACGTCCTCTGCGCGTCCAGAGTGATTTGGCCGAGCTGCTGCTGTGAATGTCCACACGGTGGTGGTGGTGATGGTGATGATGATATCACCGACGCGCGATGGCCAGGCACAGCCAATCAAATGCTAATTTTTATGCTAATTCCTTTGTGAAGGCACCTTGTTTCCTCGCACACAGCTTAAAGGTCCGCGCTCTGAGCTTGGCTGTGTTTCACTCCAGCGCTGTCCTCGAGACAGCCTGATCCCTTCACCTGATGAAGGCCGCTTGTGTTATGGCCGAAACGTCGTGATTTTTTTCGTTTTATTTTTTACCTACTACGTGACTTTACCGAATAGAACCAAAGAGTATGGATCCTTGCAGTCACGAAAGCTTTAAATCTGGTATTCATATTCTTGGGTTCTTTCGGTAAAGGTGGATTCTGGCTTAGCCATCATTGGAAGGATTTGATAAACCATCGCGGGTCTTAATTGATTGTCCACGCTTACGATGGCTTTCAGACCGCATCCATTATTTTTCGTCTCCCCCCCTCCTCTTTTCCGAACATAGATGGGCTCATTATCAGACCTCCTTTGCCAGAAACAAGATATAGGAATAGGTTTTTACCCTTTTAACTGGCACAAAAAACTGACACCTTCATTCAAGGCATCGTGTTTGCAATAACCACAACACAAGCAGTCAAAATGCAAACAAAAGAGACAACTCTGATAATAATATTGGCACTGTCCTTGAATTTGATTGGTCCACACCCGAGACGGCTTTTCTTAGAGCCCTTTAGTCTCTCCACTGGTGTTGGACCAGAAAACGCCATGTGGCGTACAACTCAAAAACAGCGCACTATCAGAGTATTGAGGGCTCGGGGTGAGCATTTACATTATGAGACCTCCTTTGCCAGTAACAAGATATAGGAATAGGTTTTTACCCTTTTAACTGGCACAAAAACTGACACCTTTATTCTAAAGAAAGCCGTCTCGGGTGTGGACCAATCAAATTCAAGGACAGTGCCAATATTATCATCGGAGCTGTCTCTTTTTGTTTGCATTTTGACTGCTTGTGTTGTAAGTTATCGCAAACACGACGCCTTGAATAAAGGTGTCAGTTTTTGTTGTGCCAGTTAAAAGGGTAAAAACCCATTCCTACACCTCGAGTCACTCACAGAGTCAACGCCGCCCACAAGGGATAAGCACCCATGTGGAGGAGCGCGTGCGGGAATTGTGTTCGACGTCATGGACCCCCGGGGTCTCGTAGCCGGAGTCTACTAAAGGTCGGGAGCGGGTGGAACGGGGGAGCCGGAGTGCAAGGGGGTTAGACGACTAGGGGAGAACCCAGTGGGGACCTAGCCCGGGACCCCTAACCCCCGGGAACGTTGTTGATTCGGAAGCTTTCGCGACTTGCAGGGATTCATGATGTTGGTTCGTTCGGCAAAGTCACCGCCAGCGTAGGAGAAGGGAAGCGATGGAATAATTTAAACGAGAACACGTCGAAAGCGGGAGAAATTCTCATTCATATTCTTAGCTCTTTCGGTAAGGTCACGTTGAAGGGAAACAATGAAGTAATGAAATATTACGTAAAAATTCTCGACTGTACAAGTCGCAGTCGAAACGTCGTGGGAATTTTATTGTTTGATATATTTTTGTTATTATTTTATTGGTAGTGGTGTTGCTGGTGTTGGTAGTGGTGGTAGTGGTAGTGGTGGTAGTGGTGGTAGTGGTAGTAGTAGTGGTGGTAGTGGTGGTAGTGGTGGTTGTGGTGGTGGTAGTGTTGGTGGTGGTAGTGGTGGTAGTGGTAGTGGTGGTAGTGGTGGTAGTAGTAGTGGTAGTAGTAGTGGTGGTAGTGGTGGTTGTGGTGGTGGTAGTGGTGGTAGTGGTGGTGGTGGTAGTGGTGGTAGTGGTGGTAGTGGTGGTAGTGGTAGTGGTGGTAGTGGTAGTGGTGGTGGTGGTAGTGTTGGTAGTGGTGGTAGTGGTGGTAGTGGTAGTAGTGGTGGTAGTGGTAGTAGTGGTGGTAGTGGTGGTAGTGGAAGTAGTGGTAGTGGTGGTAGTGGTAGTAGTGGTAGTGGTGGTAGTGGTGGTAGTGGTGGTAATGGTGGTAGTGTTGGTAGTGGTATTAGTGGTAGTAGTGGTAGTAGTAGTGGTGGTAGTGGTGGTAGTAGTAGTGGTGGTAGTGGTAGTGGTGGTAGTAGTGGTAGTGGTGGTAGTGGTGGTAGTGGTGGTAGTGGTGGGAGTGGTAGTAGTGGTAGTAGTGGTAGTGGTGGTAGTGGTGGTATAGTAGTGGTGGTAGTGGTAGTAGTAGTGGTGGTAGTGGTGGTAGTGGTAGTAGTAGTGGTATAGTAGTGGTGGTAGTGGTAGTAGTAGTGGTGGTAGTGGTGGTATAGTAGTGGTGGTAGTGGTGGTAGTAGTAGTGGTAGTAGTGGTAGTAGTGGTGGTAGTGATGGTAGTAGTGCTAGTGGTAGTAGTGGTAGTGGTAGTACTAGTGGTGGTAGTGGGGGTAGTGGTGGTAGTGGTAGTAGTGGTGGTAGTGGTAGTGATGGTAGTGATAGTAGTGGTAGTAGTGGTAGTAGTGATAGTAGTAGTGATAGTAGTGGTAGTAGTGATAGTAGTAGTGATTGTAGTGGTAGTAGTGGTAGTAGTGATAGTAGTGGTGGTAGTTATAGTAGTAGTGATAGTAGTGGTAGTAGTGGTGGTAGTGATAGTAGTAGTGATAGTAGTGGTAGTAGTGGTGGTAGTGATAGTAGTAGTGATAGTAGTGGTGGTAGTGATAGTAGTGGTAGTAGTGATAGTAGTGGTAATAGTGGTGGTAGTGATAGTAGTAGTGATAGTAGTGGTAGTATTGGTAGTAGTGATAGTAGTGGTAGTAGTGGTGGTAGTGATAGTAGTAGTGATAGTAGTAGTGGTAGTAGTGATAGTAGTAGTGGTAGTAGTGGTAGTATTGATAGTAGTAGTGGTAGTAGTAGTGGTGGTAGTGATAGTAGTAGTGATAGTAGTGGTAGTAGTGGTGGTAGTGATAGTAGTAGTGATAGTGTTAGTAGTAGTGGTAGTGTTAGTAGTAGTGGTAGTGTTAGCAGTAGTGGTAGTGTTAGTAGTAGTGGTAGTGTTAGTAGTAGTGGTAGTGTTAGCAGTAGTGGTAGTGTTAGTAGTAGTGGTACTGTTAGCAGTAGTGGTAGTGTTAGTAGTAGTGGTAGTGTTAGTAGTAGTAGTAGTGTTAGTAGTAGTGGTAGTGTTAGCAGTAGTGGTAGTGTTAGTAGTAGTGGTAGAAGTGGTAGTGTTAGTAGTAGTGGTAGTGTTAGTAGTGGTAGTAGTAGTAGTGTTAGTAGTAGTGGTAGTGTTAGTAGTAGTGGTAGTGTTAGTAGAAGTGGTAGTGTTAGTAGTAGTGGTAGTAGTGGTAGAAGTGGTAGTGTTAGTAGTAGTGTTAGTAGTAGTGGTAGAAGTGGTAGTGTTAGTAGTAGTGGTAGTGTTAGTAGTGGTAGTAGTAGTAGTGTTAGTAGTAGTGGTAGTGTTAGTAGTAGTGGTAGTGTTAGTAGAAGTGGTAGTGTTAGTAGTAGTGGTAGTAGTGGTAGAAGTGGTAGTGTTAGTAGTAGTGGTAGTGTTAGTAGTAGTGGTAGTAGTGATAGTGATGGTAGTGTTAGTAGTAGTGGTAGTAGTGATGGTGATGGTAGTGTTAGTAGTAGTGATAGTGTTAGTAGTGATAGTGGTAGTAGTGATAGTGATGGTAGTGTTAGTAGTAGTGATAGTAGTGATAGTGATGGTAGTGTTAGTAGTAGTGATAGTGATGGTAGTGTTAGTAGTAGTGATGGTAGTGTTAGTAGTGATAGTGATAGTAGTAGTGGTAGTAGTGATAGTGATAGTAGTGATGGTGATGGTAGTGATGGTGATAGTAGTGTTAGTAGTAGTGTTAGTAGTGGTAGTGATAGTAGTGATGGTGTTGTTGTTGAACTCACCGGAGCGGCGTGGCGGCTGGTAGACCCTCTGGTCTGGCCGCCGTGGCCGTGTTGGTGCCGGAGTTCGTCTCTGCCTGTGGCCCCCGCGAGCCTCCCGGATCTCCCGGTCGTAGTCGTCCCTACACGGTGGACAACAACAACAGCAGCAGTAGCAGCAGTAGTAGCAGTAGTAGCAGCAGTAGTAGTAGCAGTAGTAGTAGTAGCAGCAGTAGTAGCAGTAGTAGCAGCAGTAGTAGCAGTAGTAGTAGTAGCAGCAGTAGTAGTAGCAGTAGTAGCAGTAGTAGTAACAGTAGTAGTAGTAGCAGCAGTAGTAGTAGCAGTAGTAGCAGTAGTAGTAACAGTAGTAGTAGCAGCAGTAGCAGCAGTAGTAGTAACAGCAGCAGTAGTAGCAGTAGCAGCAGTAGTAGTAGCAGTAGTAGCAGTAGCAGCAGTAGTAGTAGCAGCAGTAGCAGCAGTAGTAGTAACAGCAGCAGCAGTAGTAGTAGTAGCAGTAGTAGTAGTAGTAGCAGTAGTAGTAGTAGCAGTAGTAGTAGCAGCAGCAGTAGTAGTAGCAGTAGTAGCAGTAGCAGCAGTAGTAGTAGCAGCAGTAGCAGCAGTAGTAGTAGCAGCAGTAGCAGTAGTAGCAGTAGTAGTAGTAGCAGCAGCAGCAGTAGTAGTAGTAGCAGTAGTAGTAGTAGCAGCAGTAGTAGTAGTAGCAGCAGTAGTAGTAGCAGTAGCAGCAGTAGTAGCAGTAGTAGCAGCAGTAGTAGTAGTAGCAGCAGCAGTAGTAGCAGTAGCAGCAGTAGTAGCAGCAGTAGTAGTAGCAGAAGTAGCAGCAGCACTAGTAGTAGCAGTAGTAGTAGCAGCAGTAGCAGCAGCAGTAGTAGTAGTAGCAGCAGTAGCAGTAGTAGCAGCAGTAGTAGAAGCAGCAGTAGCAGCAGCAGTAGTAGTAGCAGCAGTAGCAGCAGCAGTAGCAGCAGTAGCAGCCATATCGTGATAGCAGTAGCAGCAATAATAACAATAGCATTGTTAGTAGCGAAAATATCATCAGCAGCAGTAATAATATCTTTATCAGCATAAATGATATCATCAGCAGTAGCAGCATTAATATCATCATCAGCAGCAATATCATTATCAGCAACATCATCAGCAGCAGCAATAATATCATTAAATGATATCATCAGCAGCAGCAATAACATCATTAACAGCAGCAGAATCACTTGCAGATGAGACTCAACAAGTTCAACAAAATAATGTTTTTGTTTAAGGTTGCATCCGATTCAAGAGGGCGAATGGCTCACAGGGCTATACCAAATAAATGCAACTGAACCAACAATCCTGGACTGTAAACGATGTTTATATCAGCTGGTGTAATGCCCCACTTTGCTGCTGTTGAGTAGATGTTGTGTATCAGAAGCGACCTGCCCATCACACGCTGCGATAGCAGCTCAACCACGTGGCTGATATCAGCATCATCGTCATCATCACCACCACGTGGACATTTACAGCAGCAGCTAAACACAGAGACATATAGAGACCCACAGTGACCCATAGAGACCCGCAGATAGCCCTAGAGACCCATACTCATAGAGACCCACAGAGACCCATAGAGACCCGCAGATAGCCCTAGAGACCCATATTCATAGAGACCCACAGGCACTCAATACTCACAGAGACCCAGACAGACCCACAGAGACCCAGAGACACACAGAGACCCATAGAGACCCACAGAGACCCATACTCTGAGAGACCCACAGAGACCCATACTCTGAGAGACCCACAGAGACCCATACTCTGAGAGACCCACAGGCACTCAATACTCACAGAGACCCATAGAGACACACAGAGACCCAGAGACACACAGAGACCCAGAGACACACAGAGACCCATAGAGACCCACAGAGACCCATACTCTGAGAGACCCACAGAGACCCATACTCTGAGAGACCCACAGGCACTCAATACTCACAGAGACCCATAGAGACACACAGAGACCCAGAGACACACAGAGACCCAGAGACACACAGAGACCCATAGAGACCCACAGAGACCCATACTCTGAGAGACCCACAGAGACCCATACTCTGAGAGACCCACAGGCACTCAATACTCACAGAGACCCATAGAGACACACAGAGACCCAGAGACACACAGAGACCCAGAGACACACAGAGACCCATAGAGACCCACAGAGACCCACAGAGACCCGCAGATAGCCCTAGAGACCCATACTCATAGAGACCCACAGGCACTCAATACTCACAGAGACCCAGACAGACCCACAGAGACCCATAGAGACCCACAGAGACCCACATAGACCCATGCAGACCCATAGAGACCCAAAGAGACCCATAGACACCTAGAGACACACAGATACCCATACAGGCACACAAAGAACCACAGAGACACAGAGACACCCACATATACCTACCGATTGTCATGGTTGGCTTTGCACGGTGTCTGTGTGTGTGTATGTCTGTGTGTGTGTGTATGTGTGTGTCTGTGTGTGTCTGTGTGTGTCTGTGTGTATGTAGTCCGGCAAAACAACCCGCTACCTCCTCGCGGTGCCGGACGGGCAACTCTGTCGTGGACAGTGCTGTGGGGGGAGGGCCAATTCCGATTGGCTCCTCCTCTCATGGCGTCTGTGTCCACCACAGTGGCTAAACGGGGGCTCTGGACGGGTGCGAGGGGCTGGTAACCCCTCCACCTTCAATTAATTACCACTAAACCACGAGTTAAACTGAAATATGTAACTAATAAGCTTGTGCCGGAGGCCCCGGGGGGACAGTCGTCTATGACGTCTCCTGGCCAAACCCCAATTGGCGGAGCCAGGAGATTGAATCTCTACCCTCGGGGCTCCTCAAGAAACAACAAAAAGCCACTACGGATGGCCACGTGGAATGTTCGAACGCTCACTGCGGAGGAGAGGCTGCCACTCCTCTGTCGGGAGCTGGACCGGTACCGCCTGGATCTCTATGGCATTCAGGAGGTCCGGTGGACCGGCTCTTGCTCCTGCCACCATGAGGGGTGGACAGTTCTCTACTCGGGGCAGCAGACTGTCAAACAACAGGGAGTGGCTCTTCTTCTGAACAAAAGAATGAAAGGAGCGTGGGAGCGTGGCGGTGAGGTGTGGGAAGCTGTAAGCCCCAGGCTACTTTGGGCTCGCCTTCCCATCAATCGGAGGCGAGGATTGGTGGTCGTGGTTACTTATGCCCCCACCGAAGACGAACATCCGTGGAGGGATGCAGGCAAAGCCGATGAGTCAGATGCCTTCTATGACCTCCTGTCACAGGTGCTGGCTAAAGTGGCCCCTCGGGATAGAGTCATCTTGTTGGGTGACTTCAATGCCCGAGTTGGTCAAGATGCTGGCACCTGGTCTGGAGTGACTGGAGGGCATGGGCCGGATCAGCTCAATAACAACGGTAGGAGGCTGCTAGATTTTTGTGCAGCCCATGGGCTTGTAATTACCAACACGCTGTTCCGGCATCGGCACATCCACACAACATCATGGATGCATGCCGGGTCCAAGCAAGAACATCTGCTGGACTACATAGTGACGGACCAGCGGATGCAAGCCCATGTCCTTGACATCAGGACCTACCGTGGAGCTGATCTGCCCTCTGACCATCGACTTGTCATCTGTAAGAAGCGCCTGCCATTCTTCCGCTCCGGTGGTGGGTGTACACCCAGGACTCCATTCAAACCAAAAGTGGCTTGGTCTCAGTTATCTGATGAAAGTTGCAAGCGAGAATTTCATCATCGCCTGCGGCTGGGGTTGGCATCGTCCCCCACTCCTCCAGATGTCGAGGGTAAATGGGCAAGGTTTAGGACTGTGACTCATGCAGCTGCAATGGCTGCTTTGGGTACGCAGTCCAGACCTCCCCAGAGACCCTGGCTGACAGAGGAGGTGGTCAGGATGGTTGAGAAAAAGCGACAGGCCCACTGTCATCGGCTACAGAATCCCACGTCAGAGAATGAGGAGGCTTACCGCAGCCTTCGCTCGGAGGTTCGGAGAGCCGTGAGGCGCTGCAAGGATGGGTGGTGGTCGCGGGTTGCTGAGGAGATGGAGTCTGCCTCAGTGGCCCACGATCACAAATCTCTATTTAACTCCATCAAAAAAGTAACCTGCAGCGCCACACCTATTACCATCATTAGGGGAAAAAACGGTGATCCAATCTCCGACCCCCAGGAACAGGTTTGCAGATTTGCTGAGCATTTCTGTGAGGTCCTGGGAGAGGGAAAATCCCTCAGCCAGGAAAACATCGTGGCACAAAGTGAGGATGACCCTGCTGAGGCTGCGGTGCCTCAAATATTGGAAGAAGTCACCCCCTGTGAGTGACTGGCTGAGGTGCCATCTGTTGAAGAAGTACTGAAGGCGATCCGGAGTCTGAGACCAGGAAAGGCAGCGGGCAGAGATGATCTCCCAAGCGAAATGCTGAGGGAGGGTGGCGTTTGTGCACAGATTGCCCTATATAACATCATAACAACAGTCTGGACCACTGGAAGGGTTCCGCAGGATTGGAAGGATGCCCTGGTGGTCCCCCTTTTTAAGAAGGGGGACCGCACAGACTGTAACCACTACAGGGGCATCTCACTCCTCAGTGTGCCAGGAAAGGTCCTGGCAAGGATTATTCAACATCGCCTTGCCAGGCACGCTGAGGAGAGGCTTGCGGAGCCCCAATGCAGTTTCAGGAAAGGGCGGTCCTGCACAGATGCCATATTTTCTGTCCGTCTGCTACAGCAGAGGTGTAGGGAATTCCAGCAAGACCTACATCTCTGCTTTATTGACCTGGTCAAGGCCTATGATACCATCAGTAGGCCTGGGCTCTGGGTTGTTCTTCGTGCTTTTGGAGTACCTGACCCTCTGCTCACGATCATTAAGGATCTTCATGATGGTGAGCGGGCCCGGGTAAAACTACGTGGCCGGGAGTCCGAGCCATTCCCTGTACACCTTGGGGTGCGACAGGGATGTCCTCTGGCTCCCACATTATTTAACATCTATTTTGACCACGAAGTTCGTGAAGCCTTCAATAGCTGTCCCGGGGGAATCTCCATTTGGTACAGATATAATGGGAGGCTGATCGATGCCCGGGTGCGGTCAAGGGATGGCTCCCTATTGCTCAACCACGTTATGTATGATGATGATTTGGTAATAGCCGCTCATTCATAGGAGTTGGAGATGCTGCTGCTGAGACTGGAGCGTGCCACTAAGAGATGGGGCCTTACCATCAGCCCCACCAAAACTAAGCACCTGCCTGGGTATTTTGTACCATCGGACACTCCACCCCCACAACTCCCAATCGGTGATGGGGCAGTTGTGGAGAGAGTGGAGAGTTTCCCATACCTGGGAAGTGTGCTTATGACCGGCTCCAGTTTAACAGCAGAGGTCTCACTCCCAATCAGTCGAGCGGCATTATCTTTTCATCGGTTGCGTAACGCTGTGTGGAAGCTACCTGGTCTGTCGCTCCACACTAAGCTTCAGGTCTTCTCGGCCACGGTCAATCCCTCCCTTCTCTACGCTTGCGAAACGTGGACCGCCCTAATGGAACATCTTCGCCGGTTAGACACATTTAGGCTAGCCTGGGTTAAACCAGGCTGGATTGTGCGAGGAGCTCACAAATCCTTGAAAGATCTGGGCAAGGTCCTATCGGCGAGCTCCTCCGGCGGGCAAGGCTGCGATGGCTGGGTCATGTAGCCCGCATGCCCAGCCACCGCATGCCGAAACAGCTTTTGTTCGGCCGGATCGAGGGGGCTAAACGGGCGTGGCACGGGCTAGAGAAGAGATGGAGTGATGTGGTACAGGAGGCACGGGGCTAGAGCAGAGATGGAGTGATGTGGTACAGGAGGCACAGGCTAGAGCAGAGATGGAGTGATGTGGTACAGGAGGACGTGGAGCTGAGTGGACTTGCCGATGACTGGTACCAGCGGTGTCAAGATCGGTCTCTGTTGAGGAGGCTCGTGAAGGACGCTACTGGGCAATTGGAGGCAGTCGCCCTCCAACAACAACGGAGGGCGGAGGAGCGACGCTCACAACGAGCGGAGCGCCGGGTGGCTAAAGCACAGCAGGTTGGCACAGTAGGAGGCACAGGTGGTGCATCAGCCAGTCATCTCAGTCATCTCAGTCAGTCGACCCATGGCACCTGCTGGGTCTGCCCCGTGACCTCCTGCCAGCGGGCGTTCGACACTTCACGTGGCCTCAGGGTGCACATAGCCTGGTACAAGCGTCGTGGTGACGTCACCGCCATTTAGTGGCGAATGGCGGTTGTTGTTGTTGTTTGTGTATGTCTGTGTGTGTGTCTGTGTGTGTATATGTGTCTGTGTATGTGTCTGTGTGTGTGTCTGTGTATGTGTCTGTGTGTGTGTCAGTGTGTGTCTGTACAGTGTGTGTATCTGTGTGTATGTGTGTGTGTCTGTGTGTGTGTCTGTGTGTGTATGTGTCTGTGTATGTGTCTGTGTGTGTGTCTGTGTGTCTGTGTATGTGTCCGTGTGTGTGTCTAACTGTGTGTCTAACTGTGTGTCTGTGTGTGTATCTGTGTGTATGTGTGTGTCTGTGTGTGTGTATGTGTCTGTGTGTGTCTGTTGGAGACGCTGCTGCTGAGACTGGAGCGTGCCACTAAGAGGTGGGGCCTTACCATCAGCCCCACCAAAACTAAGCACCTGCCTGGGTATTTTGTACCATCGGACACTCCACCCCCACAACTCCCAATCGGTGATGGGGCAGTTGTGGAGAGAGTGGAGAGTTTCCCATACCTGGGCAGTGCGCTTATGACTGGCTCCAGTTTAACAGCAGAGGTCTCACTCCGAATCAGTCGAGCGGCAATATATTTTCATCGGTTGCGTAACGCTGTGTGGAAGCTACCTGGTCTGTCGCTCCGCACTAAGCTTCAGGTCTGCTCGGCCACGGTCATTCCCTCCCTTCTCTACGCTTGCGAAACGTGGACCCCCCTAATGGAACATCTTCGCCGGTTAGAAACATTTAGGCTGGCCTGCCTACGATCCATCCTGGGTTTAACCAGACTGGATTGTGTGAGGAGCTCACAAATCCTTGAAAGATCTGGGCAGGGTCCCATCGGTGAGCTCCTCCGGCAGGCAAGGCTGCGATGGCTGGGTCATGTAGCCCGCATGCCCAGCCACCGCATGCCGAAGCAGCTTTTGTTTGGCCGGATTGAGGGGGCTAAGCGGGCGCGGCACGGGCTAGAGAAGAGATGGAGTGATGTGGTACAGGAGGACGTGGAGCTGAGTGGACTTGCCGATGACTGGTACCAGCGGTGTCAAGATCGGCCTCTGTGGAGGAGGCTCGTGAAGGACGCTGCTGGGCAGTTGGAGGCAGTCGCCCTCCAACAACAACGGAGAGCGGAGGAGCGACGCTCACAACAACGAGCGGAGCGCCGGGTGGCTAAAGCACAGCAGGTTGGCACAGTAGGGGGCACAGGTGGTGCATCAGCCAGTCATCTCAGTCAGTCGACCCGTGGCACCTGCTGGGTCTGCCCAGTGACCTCCTGCCAGCGGGCGTTCGACACTTCACGTGGCCTCACGGTGCACATAGCCTGGCACAAGCGTCGTGGTGACGTCACCGCCACTTAGTGGCGAATGGCGGTTGTTGTTGTGTGTGTCTGTGTGTATGTGTCTGTGTGTGTGTCTGTGTGTGTCTGTGTGTGTGTCTCTGTGAGTCTCTGTGTGTGGGGAGCGGTAGTGTAGCGGTTAGCGCTACGCTGCGCTATGAACCTGGCGACCCGGGTTCGATTCCCGCTCACGGCCAACATCAGTGACGATTATCTGAACCGGTCCCGGGCCTCCCCTAGGTCGACTCAGCCTCAAATGAGTACCTGGTGCGGTGTGTAAACATCGCCACTGGGGAGACAAAGGTGGTCGGGCGTGGCGCTGGCCACCCACCCCCTCGTGTACCGATCCGGCCTTCATAGGTGCTCGCTAACAGCACTTGCCCCTACAGTCTGTTACAGGCTATACGGGGGATCTTTTTTTGTGTCTGTGTGTGTGTCTGTGTGTGTGTATCTGTGTGTGTGTGTCTGTGTGTGTGTGTATATGTGTGTGTGTCTGTGTGTGTCTGTGTGTGTCTGTCTGTCTGTCTGTGTGTCTGTGTATCTGTGTCTATGTGTGTGTGTGTCTGTGTGTCTGTCTGTGTGTCTGTGTGTGTCTGTGTGTGTATATGTGTGTCTGTGTATCTGTGTGTGTGTGTCTGTCTGTGTGTCTGTGTGTGTGTCTGTTTGTGTGTCTGTGTGTGTCTGTGTGTGTTTCTGTCTGTGTGTCTGTGTGTGTGTCTGTGTGTGTCTGTGTGTGTGTCTGTACAGTGTGTGTGTCTGTACAGTGTGTGTGTTGAGAGAGAGAGACAAAGGCGGCCGGGATCCGAGGTGGTGGAGGTTCTTCACCAACCTGGCGATTTGATTTCTCCGGATGTGATGAACGAATCCGTGCTGCATGTCCAGGCGACTCGTCTTTGGCTCCATTGTCAACAACAACAACAGCCACCGCCGCCACAACGACAACAACAATAATAATTATAACAACAATAAAACTAAACGCGCTGCCTTGCGTGAGGCGGCCTCAGCGTCGGAGGTGGCGACCGATCGCCACCCCCACCACCACCACCTCCTCCTCCCCCACCACCACCACCTCCTCCTCCCCCACCACCACCACCTCCTCCTCCCCCACCACCACCACCTCCTCCTCCCCCACCACCACCACCTCCTCCTCCCCCACCACCACCACCTCCTCCTCCCCCACCACCACCACCTCCTCCTCCCCCACCACCACCACCTCCTCCTCCCCCACCACCACCACCTCCTCCTCCCCCACCACCACCACCTCCTCCTCCCCCACCACCACCACCTCCTCCTCCCCCCTGGGGTCAGGCACCGTTGGGGGGCGGAGATCCGCGGACACCTCGACGGAGACAACCACCGAGGAAGGACCCCCAACACGGCGACGTCATAATTGTGTGTGTGTCTAAACAGGGCGCCATCTTGCCTGGGTGCAACCCGAGCGTGGCACTTAAAGGGGCCGTTGGTGACGTCGCACCGAAATCCAGTATGGTTGTGACGTCATGTTTGCCTGGGTGCACCGAGCGTGGCACGCCAAGGAGCCAAGGAGACGGGGTGACGTCACGACGATGTGTAAACCACGGCTCCATCTTGCCTGGGGGGATAATAACCCAAGATTTGATTTTGGGGGCCGTCCATAAATGACGTCACGCACCTGGGGGGGATGGGGGGGGGTCAGACATTTGTGACGATGTGTGACGAGGGGGGAGGGAGGTTTGACAAATGTGACGTCACATCAAAATGCGCAACTTTCAATAAATATCAATTAAATATAACTGTTATAACAACACTAGTTTTGAAACGAGACTTTTGCAATCCGACCGAGAGTGTCAACCCCTCATCAGTGCCCCTAACTTGTTACAGACCAATTCAGACCTTGAATTTTCACTTAAAACTTTCGTGACTGCAGGAATTCATATTCTTGGTTCTTTCGGTAAAGGCACGTAGATAGAAGATAAAAAGAGTACAAAAAAAATAAAAAATAAACTTTTTAAATGTAATTAAGAAATTTTTATTTTATTATTTATATTTTCTATCCCACGTGACTTTACCGAAAGAACCAAGAATATCAATTCAGACCTCATTGGTCACCCTCGGAATGGGGATGCGAACAGGCCGTGACGTCACGGTGGGGGTGTGTAGACAGAACGTGACGTCATAGTGGGATAGTTAAGACGGGTCGTGTCGTCACTGGGGGGGAAGGTGTGT